GGACACAAGACTGTTCCCATAGAGCTCACCACGGGACGGACAAGGCAGGTTGTTCTAAGATATCAACCCCATCCCTGGCTTTACCGCCAAGCACTACCCAGGTCACCACCACCCATGACTGAGACAGAGATCTAGTGTCCTCTTCAGATGAAAGTGAGATCTTTTCTTTTGACTTATCCAAGTGGATCATCTCAGGACAGAGGAATCTATGGTGATATTTTATTTGTATTAAAATGTTATTTGTATGTTAAATAAAGTTGCCCGGGGGTCAGAGCTATTAGCAAGCCATAGGAAAGCCAGGCAATGGTGGCATATGCTTGTAATCCCAGCACTTGGTAGGCAGAACTAGGTAAGTCTCTGTGTGTTCAGGGATACAGCCAGTATTTGATACACATGCCTTTAATCTCAAATACCAATCATAGAAAACCTGGAGGTCTATACAGACAGGCAGTGATGAGGCAGTCATGTGGTTGGGTTTACAACCAATGAGAGGGCAGAACAGAGAGTCTATATAAAGACTTTAACACAGGAAGTAGCTCTCTTTCGGAGAGGTAGAACCACCGCAGGAGGAAGGGTAAGGTTTTAGCTCTTAGCTCTGACCTCTTGACTTTCTTCTTTGCATTGGTTCTGTTTCTTATTTAATAAGATAGTTGGTTACAGCTACAGGAATCCATGTTCATTTTTCTAGAACTGTGTGTTTCTCTAAAAGTTGCATCCCTTAATATTTAATTCATCATCATCCCACTTAGCATTATTGATGACTTATACTTAGATTTCCAGACCCAGTATCAATCAATATTGACCCTGTCTCTTAGGGAAGCAGTAAAACAGCTAACTGTGGTGACAGGGTAGCATCAAGATAATGAAGAGCGGAAAACAGAAAGGACAGTGAGTAGGCAATGAATTTCAAAAATCAATTAAAGAGTCAATGCCATGTTCCTTTTATCACAAAAGCCCTGAGTCAGAAACAATGCTGGATCAGAAAACGACATCAGCCTTATTGGCATCAAGGGCAGTGTCCATTTAATGACAGTCCTCTGATGACTGACTGACAAGTGTACAAGAGTGGATCACTGTTAGGGATCTGCACACACGTTTTATTTACTTTAGAAAAATGACTAAGTGATATTTGCAGCAGTAGCTGCAGGGGAAAGGACTTGTCAAATGCTCTTACCTCAGTATTCGTTAAAGTACATTAAATCATTTAAATGTTATTCATGTTGATGGATATAAACCATGAATCCTGTATCCAAGTCACCCACGGTATCAGACTGGTGTGTGTGTGTGTGTCTACTCAGAGGTGCCTGCAGAGATCAGAAGAGGGACTCGGATCCCCTGGCACTGGAGTTACAGGCTGCTGTGACCATGTCAACACGGATGTAGGAACTGAATTCAGGCTCTGCAATAGCAGCAAGCACTCTTAACTGCAGAGCCGTCCTCTACAGCCCCATCACCAGTTTCTATTGTTAATTTTCTTACCATTGTAACAAAGACTTTGAGTCAAATTGTGGTTCTGAAGATTCCTGAGTTCCCACACCATGAAACAGATGAGCAGCTTTGAGAGTCTAAAGCCCTCTGGCTGAGTCCTAAATCCTAGATTCTCTAATTTCATTATTAAGGTGGTTTTTGTTTGTTTGTTTGGTTTTGTTTTGTTTTGTTTTGTTTTGTTTTGTTTTGTTTTGTTTTGTTTTGTTTTGTTTTGTTTTGTTTTGTTTTGTTTTGTTTTGTTTTGTTTGCAAGGAACAAGAGAAACCTGAACAAAGGGTTGTCCAGGCACAAGGATCGGCCTTGCTGGACAAGTAGGCCTGTTTGACAATGCTGTTGAAACTTAAACACAAGACAGCATGGCAATGGCAAGAGCCTGACAGCGCCAAGGTTGTTATGGAGGGAATCAAGGTTTGGGGTGTTAGGACCACACATTTCCTCAGAGATGTGGCACTTGAAACAAAGACACAGGATGGGAAAATGCTTAAAGAATCAGTCCAGAGAAGCAGACTTAAGTCAAGAGAATGTGAGAATTGGCAACGTAGGGCAAGGCATTTCTTCAAGAGAAACGTGGGAGCCAGCATTCCCTTCAAGGATGTCAGGAAATCGGGGTGAAAAAGACAGGTGGCGTTCCGTGAGAAATCACACACAGTGGCACAGCAGAACCAGCCATCTTCCAGTGACACGCCTGCTCCACTGTTCACCTGGCACTGTTTCTCTACTTCAACAGCCCAGCACTCAGAGCAGAACTTCCTCGGGCTGGAAGATTAGGTTATGAACTTGCCAAAACACCCTAACCCCTGAAAGCAGCGAAGTCGCAACCCATGCTGGAGAGGATGCTTTCTTCGAATCCTGACTCAACACATGCTGCCAGACTAGACCAGAGAGAAGATTCTAGACTGACATTACACTCTACACATTTCAACTTTGACAGCAAGATTCCAAACACAAGTGGCAGTTGCATGCACATGTTTTAGGCTTAGAAGTATCCCAAGGGACGTATTTGATAACAGCCATGTACCCACGTGTTGCTTGGTGATTTGTTTCCAGATATACCAAAAGAAAGATGCTTAAAGGAGACCAAAAGCCTGCGGTTCTTCCAGAAGACTGAAGATACCCTGCACATGATGTTCAACTGGCTTTGGCATTAGCCCGAGCATGCATTTGAAGAGGCTTAGTGTTGCCATCAGACTTATGAGATGTACCTCTAAAAGGAGTCAGTGAGGATGCTGATAGGCTCAGGCTAGGTACTCTGCTTCAACAAGCAGTGCTTATCTTTCATCGTTAACATCTACAGTTGTTCTTAAACACATGCACAATGATCTCTCCAACTCCTTTGTTCTTTGCTCCTGAACTTGTCACCATGGCAACCGTGGATGCTCAGCTATCAGAAAGGGTTCAGTAGTCACATCGTATGTTAAAAAAAAAAAAAAAAAAAAAACATTTATGCCTGGGGTCCTCCAGGGTTTGGTAGTATGTTCTACAAAAATCTTATGAGGCAAATACAGGACAGGATGGAAGTAGAATGATCTAGCATTTAGATTCGTGATTTACAACTTCATCATTGGATTTCAACTCTCTTTCCTTTTTCTCTTTATAGGTTTCTCTCTTGAATTTAATTGTAACCACAGGAAAAAAATATACCCCATAAAAAATCAAATTGAGTACTCATTCAGTACAAAAACTGAAAGTGCCTCCTTTGACTCTTCATCTAAAATAAAAAGCCAGAAGGGATGACATGGTGGGACACTTGCAAGGAGCCCTGGGAGAGCTCCACAGGCACGATCCACCATGAGTCTGTCTCTCCCGCTGTTTCCGATATGAATCAAGCCTCACTAGCAAGATAAACCCATCTCAAACGGGTACAAAACATTCCAAAGTGTATCGGACCAAAATGTCCTCAATGTTAATTCACAGAATTAGGGAGTGAGATCTTCTTTGGTTTGTTTCTCAATTTTTCTTGGGGAGCGGGGGTTGCTGGTGTGTGATTTGTTGGTTGGTCTTTTTATTTTTTCCTGTCGAGGTAGCATCTTCACTAGGCTGCCCATCCTGGCATGGAAGTAGAGATCTCCCTGTCTCAGCCTTCCAAGGGCTAGGATTACAGGCATGTACCTCCAAGTCCAGCCCACATTTGTAAAAATAGATTTTTGTAATCTTTCTTAAAACACCACATTAAAAAAGAAAGGAAGGGAGGAGGGGAGAAGAAAGGGGAGGGAGGAGGGGAGAGGAGGGAAGGGGAGGGAGGGAAGGAGAGAGGGAGGGCTAGAGGAGGAGAGGAGGGAGAGAGGGAGGGGAGGGAGTGGGAAGGAAATGGAGACAATCTTGAATAACATGCAAAACAAGCAAACAAAAACAGCCTTCTAGGCAAAGGAAAACAGTCTATGGGCAGAGGAATCTGGTACTGGACACTTGGCACCTCACTTTCCTAGTCTCTTTTTCCTCCTGCTGGTCCTGTGGCAAGCATCAATTACTCACGATTTACCACCATGTGGAAGTGTGCACTGGCTTCACCACTTGGTAGTTATGTCCCTTTTACAGAAAGAAAAAATGAAAATGCCCACATTCAATGCTGCTCTGAATCTAGAATCTTGTGGGGTGTTTTGTTTTTGACACAGGGTCACACTTCATACCTCTGGTTGCCCTGAAACTCACAATGTAGACCAAACTATCCTTGAACTCACAGAGATCCGCCTCTGCCTCCTAAGTGCTCAATCTTTTCATTACATCGTTTTTTGCTTTTTTTTTTTCTGATTAAAAGAGCAAATAGCACATGTGCCAGACAAGTGATGAATTTTCCAAAGGCTAGCTTGACATTTAAACCAGGTGTCATTTACGATGATGGGGAATCGCTGTGTACACAGTTGTCTTTCCAGCCCTGTTGGAAAGGCTGACCACTGTCCCCCAGGCAGGATGACAGATAACAGAGCTGATACCCTGATTTTTAACTTCGGGAGTTAATCACCACCAGCCTGATTTCAAGCAGAGGTAACACAAACATTCATTGTGCCGCTTAACAATGGCTTGCAGACAATCACACAAGCGCCATCTTAAACAGAGAGGTCATACTTTACAGGACCTGAAAGTCTGTGTCTCACTGACCCTCAAGCCTGCCAACATGGAAAATGGTGATAAAAGAGCAAAGTGTGCAGAGGGAAAATCGCGTCCCATGGTGCTTAGAGATGGGCTGACACAGCACACCAGGGCTACCTAGCATGGCTGTCGGTGTGTTATCATCTACAGAGACGGCAACTCACAGAGCCACCCACCCCAGCACTCAGGACATTCTTCTAGAAATCGGTCAATGCAATGAAAACAGCAGCACTGAGGAGGCTTTATGAAGATTCTGGAGTTGGGTTTTGTTATGATTAAGCAATCAAACTTGTACAGAGGAGTAAGCAGAGCCTGGGTTTTTAAGGTATGGTTCCCATAGCCACCATCCCGGTAACTGTGGACCCCACTTGTGGCTCTAGGCAGAGCCACTACCTGACCCATGATAGCTTGATTACATAACTGACCTTCACATCTCCATGCATGTCCCATGTTCTCTATGAAGCGACAAACAGCCCAAGTGAACCGAAGGGTTAAGCAGAATAAATTATACATTCTCAACCAAGAGTCATTACCAACACTCACTTAACGATCACGATAATTTAATCCTACTTAGCGTGGAGCCATTGCTGAGCTGAAGGTGGGTGGGGACACTACCTGTCTGGGGTCTCCATGCACACCCAGGGAAGGGGACACACGCCCTCATAGTGCTCGAGGGTCTCACCCCCTTATAGTGCTCGAGGGTCTCCATGCACACCCAGGGAAAGGGACACACACCCTCATAGTGCTCGAGGGCCTCACCCCCTCATAGTGCTTGAGGGTCTCCATGCACACCCAGGGAAAGGGACACACACCCTCATAGTGCTCGAGGGTCTCCATGCACACCCAGGGAA